AGAGTTCAGCCTGTTGCCTCAGGGAAGGAAGTTGGTTTTTGGGGGGCAGTGTGGGAAGATGAAAATAGAGATGAAAGCTTTCCTGGGAAGATGTTTTGAGAACTAACTCATAAGAACGTAGGTTAGGGTAATTTTAATATTGGTTATGTGTAAATACTGAAAATGTCATTTGCCTCATTATTGTAAGAGTGAAGACTTTTGTAGCCCCTAGAGGTCTTCTAGCCCCGCTCACCACTCAGGATCCCTCTTACACAGAATCTCTCTAGGTTGGGCGTTTCGTTTCTGCTTGGTTGCTCCCACTCCTGTAGAGGTCATCACATACCAAGCCAACTCATTCCCTTTTTCTTTTTAAGCATCAGCTTAATGGTTAGGGGGACAGTTCAGGCTTCAGAGTGAGAACTCTGACTTCAAGTTGAGACTATGCACTTACTAGTTAGAACTTGCTTAATCTCTCACAGGTTTCCTTTATTTTTTTCTTTCTTCTGGCTGTGCGGTGTGGCATGTGGGATCCTAATTCCCCACCAGGGATCAAACCCTGCGTCCCCTGCGGTAGGAACTTGGGGTCTTAACCACCGGACCACCAGGGAAGTCTGCCATTCCCCTTTTAAAGCCTGTGGGTGTTAAGTATGTTCCTTACCTTGAGCTGTGGTCTCCTTCCCTTCACCTCTACCCACTGCTCTGAGGTCTGGGATCTGAAGCCACCACCCAGAGCAGATCCACCCCCACGTCAGAGGTGGAAGGTGTCCTTCACCTGTGAAGATAACTGTGCTTATCCCGGAAACCTCTCTTCCAGCTAAACACCTGCAGTCTCCTAAGGGCCTCGCCTTCCGACCTGTGCTTGTGACTGTCCCACGGGAAGCAGGGTGCACAGGTGTGCTCTGCCTGCCTGTGTCCACTCACGCCGCAGCTTCTGAGCCCCACCTCTGTCCTTGCGCTGTTGGCTTTTGCTGCCCTGCTTTTTCTTTCAGCCCAACAGACCTCACATTTAAATTTAACCCGGAGAGTTTCATTTTCCCAGCTGTCGTCTTCAGCCCTTGCTGTCCCTGCTCCCTGCTCAGCCTTTTTGGGATGAGCCTTCCACTCCATTTAGGTGCCCATCATCTGGATCTCCCCACCTCCCCCTCGTTTCTGCCACATCACAACTGGGTGACGCTAACACGAGCTGTCCCCCACAGCATGGACCGTGGGCGACACTCATCACAAGGGATGAGTGCCTGGTGGGGCCTTTCCCAGTGGGCCTGAGGTCTGCTGGAGCCCCGCTCCTGAAAAGACAAAAGTGTTCCTTCCCTTCAGCAAAGATCACTGCTCTCCCTCAGAATGTTCAGGAATCCCCCGCCCCCCGCCCCGCCCCACCAGTCTTTCAGCTGCCCTCTTTCAGGTGCCAGTTCAATTTTCATTTTGAAGAAGCCACCTCCGGCTCCCCGGAGCAGTTGGGCATATTCTCCTTGGCAGCTCCATGTTTCTGCTAACGCAGCACCATTATTCCTGTGTCTGTCCCTCCCACCTGAAGGCACTGCTTGTCGCGGTCAATGGAGTTGATAATTGTGTCTTCATCTTAGTTGTTTTCGCACTTCTGTGGAGAAAAACCATGCTTACCCCGAGAGCTTTCAGTCCCCAGCTGGAGTCCCTGGACAGGTGTTGAGAACCCCCTGAAGTGGTGTGAGGGTTTTGTGTATTAGTGCGTTTTCTGAGGAAGGGATCTATGTTCCAAACTTGTTCTGACCCACTGTTTGATTCCCTCTCAGGAGACCGGCTCCCGAAATAAGCCCCTGAACCTCTCAGCAGGTCGCACACTTGGCATCACCAGGCTTGTTTCAGCCTCATTACCAACCCTGAGGACACGCAGTTGTTTCGGGTCATCTTAGGAAATCGCACCACAGACCATTTTAATAACATGCACCTTTATAAATTTGGCTTTAGTTTGGAGGTAAATGGGGAGGTCTTGGTAAGAACTGAATTTCTGGGAGCTGGGACTTCAGTTTTCATTTCTTAGTGTCCCTGAAATCTGTTTTAGGCTTGGATTGGGTGACCTCTTAGGTCTGCCAGATTGGCCACCAGGCATATATTTTACCTCTAGTTCTGAGGTGGGGGCTTGTTACCATTCAGCAACTGTTAGGATTGGGAAATGACCTTGGGTTCTGCAGTAGCTGGACCAATTTCAGATAGAAGGGGCTACTTTTTTAGTCCAGAATAGCCTGGCCAAAACAAGTAACAAGTCTTTATAGCAGGTGATTACTGTTTCAAGTTCCTAGGGGGAGTAAACAAGTTACAAAGTATTCTTGCTGCTTGGGCCTGTGATAGTGCATTGTGTTCGGGGAAACCTGATAGATTTTGGTTACAGCCGGTTCCTGGCTGGAAGGTTGGAGAAAATCCCTAGACTGAGTATTTGTAAGGATGGAGAGTGGTGGTCAGGACTTGTGCAGGGAGCCCAGCTTTTATCTGCTGCGGTGCATCCTTCCGGCTTCACTGTGTATCTCTGTATGTTCCTTTGCCTAGAGACTCATTTTGTAGCCTCCTGTTCATAATTCCAGCTCCTAATTCAGATGTAGAAGCAGGCGATGTACTTAGTGGGTACTGTTCAGGGGAGCTGGGAGGCCAGTGCCTGGGAGGAGCGTGGGAAGCGCTGGTGGGAGCTGCCAGGTCTGGGGCTGGCTCTGTGACCCCCTCACTCCTCAGGGCCCTTACCCTCGTGACGTGACTCCTGCTCCCCTCTGCCCTCCCGGGACCTACGGCTGAAGGCCGCAGCCTAGCTTGGCTACGTTATGGTTAACCATCTGGGGGGTGTAGTACTGTTTTGAATCTGGCACATATTTTCCCACAGAGACCAGACCAAACCAACAACTTTTGGAATGAGGCCAGTTCTGTTGAGTTCATGAACTGGGTGTGGGTTGTGATTTTTTTGCTCCCCAAAGGGCAGAGAAGGCTGTAATCTGGGCAGATTAAGAATTCGTGTGGTGGTGTCTGAAGGGGTGCAGATCATCTGGCTTGAGCTTTCTGGGGACCTGTGACTCCGTGTCTGCTTGAACAGTTTGTAGAACTATAGCTAGTCTTGAATAGCTAGTAAAGTAATAACAGTGTTTCCTTTCCTTTCTTCTAATTTTTTTTTTTTTTTTTTTTTTTTTTTCGGGGGCC